CAAACGTGCAGGCAGCTCAGTTCAGCACCTGGCCTCTCTTTTGTTGCCATTTCCATAGGAGACCAGGTGCAGGTATGCTTAGCACTGGCCCTGGGGGAGACAGCAGGGAGCAACCTGGATCGACCCAACAGTGCCTCCTGCCGGGCATGTTGCTGGTCCCCAAAAGTGACTCATTCTCCAGCCATCTCCAAGCAGGTGGAGTGGCCTTATGGGTTCCTTAGACCGCACTAGTGCGCACACAACTTCACCTCCCAGCTGCCAACAGCATCATTGCTAGGGAAAATGAGAAGCTTTCCAAGCATCATATTTACTGACCATTCCTTCTCTCACAGTCCTGCCACCAGAGGAGGACAACAGTGTGGAGACCAGCTGGCCCACACAAACTGGGGAGAAGAGACAACGCTGTTCCTCTCTGGCTGGGGTTGGGTGGGAGCTCAGGCAACGTACACGCTCATATGGCAACCTGCTTTGCTGCATGACCTGTGACTCACCTGCTGGCCTCGTCTCCTGCTGCAGCAGCTGTAAATAATAACTCTTGCTCCCCAACCAGCTTCTAGCGACCGACCTGCCACTGGAGAGTGCTCAAGGCCTCACGCGTGGCCTTGAGTCTGCCCATGGACAGATCCCATAGGGTAGGGGGAGGGGAGCTTTCTCCTTTCAGGGAGAAAGGAAAGGAGAGGGAGAGAGAAACTCTCAATTGCTAAATTTGGGGCTAGGGTTGGAGGTTAGATATCTGTCGTTTTCCTCATGGCACACGGCTTTTTAGCTGAGTTCTTAGTTTTTCTTTCAAAACACATCACGAGCAAGTTTCACAATCTACAGCAGCACAGCCCCAGCAAAGGCAGGGATAGGATTTTCCCAAGGGCTCTACCTCACCTCTCACCCACATGAGAAACTCTGACCTAAGGGGAGACTTAAATCTCATTCCCAAATCCTGTGCCAGCCACTTCTTGAGCTGGTGACTGCATTAAAAGCAATGTCAGAAACCTGCATACGTGCATAGAGCGGTTTAAATGGGTGCTGCTCCTTTTTCTGCTCCACCCTTTTGCTGGATGTGTTTGAGATCTCGCTGCCATTAGTCTGTCCTGCCTCCTGCCTCAGCCAACACGTGCCTGCCTCCCTGCCAGGTCTATAAGGGACCAGCCCTCAAAGCACTGCACCACGGTAGGAGGAAAGGGGAAGGGGCACCTGGCTTACATCATATTGCTGTGGGAAGTTGCGGATGGAAGGCAGCGGTCGGACAGACACCCACTTCTTCTTTGCTTTGGACATCACCAGCAGGACGCGACGTTCCTTCGTCCAACTGCAGAAGAGACAATAAATCAAGAGAGGCAAAAGGAAGAGCAGAACAAGGGTTTTTTTTCCTCAAAGACTCTTAAACATTGAGAGATAACCAGATCCTCCAGCCCAGCTTGTCCCTGCACTATCCAGCTGCTCCTAGACATGCATATCCGTGACAGAGAAGGTGCAAGAAGGGTGGCACGGGGATTTCTTCCTGTATTTATCACTTATTTCCTGGGGTATCTCTTCTCATAAAGCCACAAAAGCCTCCCCCAACTCTCACATGGCATCATCATGGATTACTAAACAGCTGCATTCCGCTCTTCGACACAGCCAATTCTTGTGCAATCACATCCATGAGAAACATTTGGGAATATTTTCTGTTTGAAAGGTGCAGTAGAAATGCAAGTCATTACAAGCACTGTCTTATGAACAGGTGCTAGGAAGTATTAATTCTCCTGAAGCACCAGCAAGCGATCATGAGGAGATACCCTGGGCAAAACCCCCGGCTCTATTCAGCAGCTGCACAAAGAGGTGTTATTCTTCCCATTCCAAGAAGTGATCCTCACCTGCTCACTTCCTCCAGCAACTGCTGCTTCCATCCCTTTTTTCAGCAAAGGCCTTATATTTGCAATAGGATGCTGGACTGTGCCTTTGTGGCTTGTGTTACGGGAAGGGAAATCCTATAAACCCTTCCATCCTATCCTGCCAGGCTGCCTGGGTGAGATGGGCCATGGTTTCCATTACCCAATGGTGACTTCCCAGCTGATATTCCTCTTCTAAGGGGCTTATAAGAAAGATAGGGACAAACTTTTTAGTAGGGCCTGTAGCAACAGGACAAGGGGTAATGGTTTTAAATTAAAAGAAGGTAAATTCAGACTAGATATAAGGAAGAAATATTGGGTGAAATTCAGGGTGTTGAAACACTGGAACAACCTAGAGAGGTGGTAGATGTCCCATCCCTGAAAACATCCAAGGTCAGGTTGGACAGGGCTCTGAGCAACCTGATCTAGTTGAAGACATCTCTGCTCATTGCAGAGGGCTGGACTAGATGGCCTTTAAAGGTCCCTTCCAACCCAAGCTATTCTATGATTCTTTTACACCAAATATCTTCATGGCCCCCAAGGAGGCAGGAGGTGCAAACAGACAAGACGTGCATCAGAGAAGAGCATTCAAAGCAATGGAAGAGCCAAGGAAACTAATTTAAAAGGAAGCAGAATACCTTGAATCATTGCTCATAGTGACCTGACGGACATCTGCAAACAGCTATGAGTATAAACAAGTGCAGGGGAGAACTGTATTAGTGACCTCGCTAAGAAGAAATGATACCAAATGGGAAGAAAGGGAATTGTGGGAGCTGGACTGCACACACCAAGAGTAACAGTCTGCACAATGCTGGCAGCAAATACAAACAGTAAAGAAGAGAGCTGGAAACTGGAAAACAGCTATCTGCAATGCTTCCTACAGTGACAAACACCCCGAGCAGCAAGGGGCTCCTAGAAACCTTACAGCTGCTTCCAAAGAGGCCAAATGAAGCCCTGGAGAAGGTAAGAGGAGAAATTCCTGCCCTCGAGGAGGGGTGAGGGAAAGGGAAGGTTGCATTGCTCACCAGTGGCGGGCTTTGGCACTACAGTACTTGAGGTCTTTATCTGGCTCCACCAGCTGCCCGTTCCTCCAGCACTGGCCACACACAAATTTCATCTGGAGGTCAAAGGTGCTTGATGTGGGAGCCCGGGGAGAAGCCTGGGGAAGAGAACCACAACCTCAGGTGAACAGAGCCAAAATGCACCCCCCAGGCTGTCACAGAGACACTGGCAGCTCCCTGCACGCCCGTGTGCCAGCGACAAGCCAGATTAAATCAGCGACAGCCCAGCTCTCCTTTGCCAGTGTTAGCTGGTGGCCTGTTGAGATACCAGACAGGAGCAAAACCACTGCTTGCTTCAGCATGATTTCCCGGGCTTTGACGTCTGGCCAAAAGCACAGCCAGCCTGGCTGTGAAACCCCTGCAGCGTATCTCCGTGTACAGACAAGCTCTGTGAGACCTGCCCCAGCGCTTAATCCCCACTTCCCCGCAGGGAGGGCAATCCACGTCCCCCTCGCTAGCTGTGGGGAGAGCTCAGTCACACAGCTGAGAGAGCCCCCTCGGGAGGAAGGCAGGCCGTGCCACAGCACAGGACCTGCCACTCCTGCTTTTGGACCAAGAGGCTCATGCCACATCTAGCATTTGACACACTAAAGCCAGAGCTGCGTCCTCTCGTTGATACCCTTCCAAGCCATTTCTGGGCAGGTTTCCATCTCTCACAGTTTCTTTGCACTGGGTTTCACAGTCAGTTAATCATGGACAGAGGTACAACTGTCAATGCACATATTTCATATCCTCTCAGCCACTTGACTTGATTGGCCTTCTACCTGTCCCCATGAGAAGGCTGTGTTGGGATTATGACTAACAGATTGTGGAGGAAAAGAAAGGAGGTAGTCCCATAACACCGCTGCCTCGTGTTTTCTGAGCAAATCTCTGCAAAGCCATCCGCATTCTGTATCACCACTGGAAGACATGAGGCTGGTGTCTCCAGTTCATTTCCAAACCAAAGAGCAAACCTGACTGGATGCCAGCGGCCCTGGGCACAGGAATATGTGAGGGTACAAAAGAACACCCCGGTCAGTGAGCCAGCCATGAAGCACAAAGGTCACGTACCAGTAAAACAGTTCTCTGACTGCTAACCACATAAGCAGCCCATCCCAGCTGACATGCCTTGACTTCTAACCCCAAGCATCTAACAATGAGCAGACAGGCAAACCATGTCCCTGAGGAGCAGGATTCTGTCAGCAATTGATTAGCAATAGCACGGACCCTACGTGCATCCTTTGGCAAAGGGAAAACAGCCAGCAGAGGCGGTGCAGAATCAAAGCATCTCCCAGGAAATGCCACATAAGATATCGACTACCACTCTGCATCCTCCAGATCTAGCCTTTCAGAGGAGGGGAGCCGACATATAAAAGGTCCTCCATTGCTGTGAAAAGCTGACTGGAGAGCTGACCTTTTCCTTTGCTGACTACAAGAGGCCGTCACTGCTCTGGATGTCCCAGCAAAAGGGCTCTTCCAGAAAACCATCATCTCCCTTGAAAAGCAGCGGCGATTCTGGCCCGCTCGCCTGCAAGTTGGCCTTTCTGGTGGCACCTGGCACATGACTCGTCCATCTGGCAGCCTTCACCAGTGCTGCTGAGCACCAAGACCACATCAAAGTGTCCGGCTGTGGGATGAGCAGGCTTGAGACCTGGGCTATCACGGAAGGCAGTTAAGGTGCTTCCCTCTCAGATGTGTGGCGTTGAACAGTAGGTGTTGTCTCCTCTTCGTCTCCAAATGAAATTATGCTACAGCTCACCACTGACCCACCAAACCTGTAGGCCTAAGGTAGCAAAATAGCACTGCTGGCATATTCCCTTTTATCAGCCTCATGCTACCTGCCATATAATCCTCCAGGCAACAGATCTCTCAGCACAGGCAGGACTCTTGGCTCAAATCTGATGACCCAGTGAAAATACAAACTGAGTGGCTCCAGAAGGCACAATAGATCACAGATAAAGAAAATGTTTCCCAGGTAATTCTGGTGATCTGGGCCGCTTTCTCCACAAATTCTTAACCAAAAGAAACCCCATGCATGTCTTCAGCAGAACCATGCAAACTGCTGGTCAATCCAGCGGGCATGTGTGCTCCCAGGGGATTAGGAGCCAAGCGGAAAAATCAAAGCTGCTGCTGTTGCTGCTACATGACTGTATTTGTGAAGGCAAGACACATACCTGGCAGGCTGCTGATAACCAACAGTGTGGAAATTAGTATCACATGAGGCTCTAGCAGACGAAGCCAAGCAAAAGTGCCTAGGGCTGTGGCACCACCCCTTGCTATGAAGCCAGACAATATAGTGCTAGCTATGCACCATGGCAACCAAATAAATAAGTCTTTGGCATGACAGCTCTCCACTTCAGGCTTTGCAGAAAGCAACAGCCCCAGTACAGCCACTCGTGTCTCCCAACTTCAGGAACCCCTCTCAGTGATACTGAAATGGTCTCTGGAGGAGCCACATGCCTCGGGGGACTGTATGAGGAGCCCAGGTTACTCAGCCACCTAACTGAGTGAGCTGTACTTATTTAGGTGCAAGTATCCCTTACTAGAGACTGTCCTTTCCTCTCCATGCTTAAATTGCTAATTCTGAGGCCAGTTTTTATGGGGGTTCTGCAGCTGGCTAGTGGAGTAAAAACAGCATAGCCCTCAAACACCAGAAAAAACGAGGGCTAAAACCCTAGCGATGTGATGGGAGGACACTCAGCTACCTACAACAGTCTCTCCTGCTGACTGCCTCTTCAATCTGTAGCCACTGGGTTTATTCCTACAGCAGCCTCTATGGGGCCAATTTTTGTGGGGGCCAAGAGTGAGATCCCTGGCAGGTGTTTAGCAAGCAGTGTATCTTCATTTTCCACTTCTTACTAAGTCTCCTGACCTGCATCGCCACAGCTGCTGGGTCCCTGCATGCTGCCTGCCTCTTTTCTCCACAACTGGATAGTCCCAGCCACTAACTGAGTCCAGCTGGCAGCTGTGACAAAACTGCAGCAAAATCCCTGGGAGCGACTTTGCTTCCGCTGACCAGAGGGCGCCAGGGTGAGCACGGATCACACGGGATGGTGGGAAGGAGGGGTCTGCTTTTACAGCGCTCCTGGGAAGTTGTCTTTGCCAGGCAGCCAACTTCGAAAGCTGGAAGGACACTGAGAAAACTCTGAGTCACGTTAGCCTGCTTGGATGGGGGAAAATAATGGCAAAAGTAAACATCTCTCAACGGATACGTTAGTCCTGCCCCTGGGGTCTTCGGCAGCAACCCAGTGTCTCATCCCGGAGCAGAGCCCTCTGGCTGAGTACGTGCTTATGCCAAAGCCACGGCTTGCTATTGCAAACACATGTGTCTGACCGACTTGACTCTGTCTCCCTGCACAGTGCCAGTGCCAGGCTGCCAGTCCCTACAGACAACCGAGGGTGCTGCTGGTAGGCACTTTCTGACTGTACCAACAAGGCTGCTGCTTTGCCTCCGCACAAACTGCTGCCCTGGAAGGGCGGAGGGTGCAGTCCAGCTCTGTGACAGGCGTTTGTGGGGCACAGCCAGACTTTGCCGCTGGCCATCAGCCGTAACACTGCCCACAGGGCCCAGAAACTGTAGTGCTCTGCCCATCCCTTGACAGCTGATGGAGCAGGTGCTGGCATTTCTTTTCCTGATCCTCTGCCCCCTGCAAGCCCCGAAAGCTGGAAACGAAACCCTCGCTCAGCATCCATATCCCATGTGCTTCAGAGGACATGCTCTGACCATGCCCACCGAACAACTTGTTCTTCCAACAGCAGCACCTCCAGACAAAGGTGAATTTGAAGCTGCAAGGCTTACAGGAAAACAGCTGTCCATCTATCTTTTTATCCCCAGATTATGCACAGAGAGTGGCAAGACAATGCTTTCTGGAAAATGAAGGCAGATCCAGAAACAGGCCCTAGACTTCATTCTCCATGGGGTTGGGATTGCTGATATAAATCCAACTACTGTCACAAACTGCTGCAAATTCACACTTAGTTTCCTCCACTGTGGAGATGCAGGCAGCTGTGTCTGTCCCCACAGCAGGCAGAAAGAGATCACGGCCAGCTCTGTCTGCAGGGACCATTCAGATCACCCAGGCTCACTTCTCAGATAACAGGCTGTAGATACTTGTCCTTTCAGCTTCCTGAGAGGCTAGAACATATGCCTCAAGGACGTCAGACAGCTTTGGGAACTAGAGACCTTGGTTACTCTGGACTGCCGCTTCCCATTCCTCTCCCCCAAACCATTTCAGACCACAACAGCAGAATGGGCCACACAGGTACGTTGCTGAGCATCGCCTCAAAGATGAGTTCATCTCATGCAGCATAATCAGTACCCAGGTGGACACAGAGCCCACTGCAAGCATCAGTGCAGTCACCTGCATCCTTCCTGTTGGGCTAACCCATGCTGATCAGACCTGCATTTCCCCAACATCAGTGCCCTACAGCCCTCAGAACACTCCTGCTGGCCCATAACCTAGCCCAAAAGAGCTGCTATGCGCCATGTGAGTGACTCTGATCCCTTTCCTACAAAATACCTCTTCCGCAGGGTGCTCACAGGCTGCACTCGGTGCTGATCTCTGCAGAGGTACTCCAGGGTGAGAGGTCCCAAACAAAAGTGAAGCACAGGACAAGGGGTGGAAAGCTCAGGTCTTCACAAGGGGAAAGCAAGTTGTCAAGTGGGAACAAAAAGGATTCGTAACACTTTCCCCACCATTTTGCATGGGAGAGAATTGCTCCTATGCCTGAGAGCTTGCTAGGAGGCATGAAGTTTGTCATCTCATCAGATGTATCTTCTGCAAGTAATTAAAGAACAAAAACCTCCCTGTTCTAATGGCAAAACTGCTTTAGTTCAGCCTCAAGGCTGGGCTGGGAATTGTCCTCACTGGGTGGGCTCTGCTCCTACACTACAGAACACCCCCTTGGGAAAAAAAAAAGGATAAGGCAGCACCACTGGTAGCCAACACGTTGGAAGAAAGCAAACAAAGAGATGCTCTGCTTATAACACAGCTCTCCAAAGAAAGCTCTTGGCAGTGTTGGAGGCTGCAGTCAGACACACCTTCTCCCACACTGAGAGACTGGTGGCACAAAGAGAGGCAAAGCTCACAGCCTCCTCCTAGCAAAGCTCCACCGAGATCTCTGCCCAGCCTCAACAGCACCTGACCTGCAAGTTCCACCCACTCCTGCATTTAGAGCAGTCCTGTGGGTCATGAGTAATTTCTTGAGTTCTTCAAACTGCCGTATCGTCCCTTGGCCACTAAAGGGCAGCAGGACACCTTTGGTCCCCACTCTGTGTGGCCATGGTCCCCAGTCTCCTGATTTCACTAGCAACGTGTTGCACAAAGCACCATTCTCTGCGTGTTGTCCTCCCTGATCCGGAGGCTTCACCCCACCACTGAACAGAGCAGATAACAACGCTGCAGAAGAAGCCACAAAGCTCAGCACTAGCACTGTGATCAGGAAAGCTCTCAACCATCCTCCTCCTCAATGGCCAGCCTAGTCTGCCTGGGACCTGTCAGGCACAGCAGTGGGAGGAAAAGAGACAAAGTGCTGGAACAGTTGAGAGCAAAACCAGGCTGCAAGCCCTAGATGCACCTTACTTACCATGCTGTTGGCTGGTTTGCTGGCATGTGCCTCCATCTGCTGCCAGTACTTCTTCGATTCCTGCACAATATCTTCGTGAGTCATTCCTGGGAACAAAGGGAGACAGGACTGAGCTACTCGGCTTTGGCCAAGACAAGAGAGGGAGGGTTTGGTTGCAGGACTTCCTACATTGGGGCTTAGGAACCCCTGTGTGGCTGACAGCTCTCAACAGTCCTACTGGTAAGGTCAGGACATGGGTTGTGAGGGGGACTCACCACAGAATGTGTTTAAGCACAGGCTAAGGAAGTTCCTCTCTCCGCACAAGCCAAATGAAAGGGGGAGTTTGGTCTCCTGGGCTCATTCAGACCTGGTGTGCTGCTCAGGGTGACTGCAAAGGACCCAGATGCTGCCTCCAAGATGATGACTCTTGACCAGGGGTCAACACCCTCAACACCGTATCAACAGATCCTACCCAAGGGCCTGAAGACAATGCTTTCCTACTGTTGACCTACTGTATATTGGAGTTTTTTACACTAGCTTGGAAAATCACAGATATCCCACAGAGACATCTCACACTTCCAAAACCCCAGAAGTCTCACCTAATCCCTGCTGGGATTAATTAGCCTGTTACACTTCAAGTTCTGGGGGCTGCCCATCAATCAATAGGCAAAGAGGAAAGTTGAAATTCAACACAGACAAACACCAAGGCAACCAAAGTAGCAAGGAAAGACCCATAGTGCAAAACCAGCCAAGGAACAGCTGCTGGTATGTAACCAGCAAGGAAAGAGCTGCAAGGTTTCAGGAATCAGAAATGCAACATCCAACAACAAGAAAAAAGGGTTGGTCAGACCTTATCTAAGGAATTAGCTCCTGACCAACTCACGTGGTGAGGGAACAGCCCCTGGCAGCACCAACCAGCTAGATGGGCACTACAGTTCTAGAGCACTAAACAGCAAGAGAAAAGTATGTAAGAGCAGGAATCGTCTGGTCACTGTGAGGACTCTGTTACAAAAAAGCCATGTTATTTAAGTGCTACAAAGACCCAAGACAGCTGCCAAAACAAACTGAAGCAAGAATCTTACAATGGCCAGCTGACGGCAACAAGTGGGGCGCTGAGGATGGCCTTGATGCAGCACCCCCAGCACAGAGAGGCTGCAAAATTGCTCGCTTTGCTTTTGCCTACAGCTTTTATTATTGAAGTGAGGTGTTCCCCAGGCATGCCACATGGACTCGATCTTTGATCTGGGAGCCAGCATGTTCCAGAACTTAAGGGCCAGCAAACACAAGTTTTCATCTCAGCTTAGGCTCTGTGTAACTTGGGTAAGTCACAGCATTCCTGACCTCAGTTTCCCCATCTGTGATTTCAGCTGTCCAGGTCCCTGCCAGGCAACAATACTGCTGTTTGTACAGGGCTTGGATAGGATGAAAAGCATTCAGGGAACTTTATCGTTCTTCAAGAATGGTAAAGGAGGCTCAGGCCTCCAAAATGGGAGCTGTTGCATAGCTGGTACAACTCCCAGACCAGAGCTGTTTGTGGATTTTCTCCTTCTTAACCATTAATCCCAGAAGAAACTGTATAGAGTTACAAAAACTGCAACTCTCTCTTCCATGTCCAAGTATTCCAGGGCTGGACACAATGCTGATTTGTACTTTGGGGACAAAAACTATAAAGCTGAAAAAAACACAGCAAAAAGTTAACGTGCCATACTGGACCTGGCAGAGAAAGGGCTGAAGCAGCTCCCATCTCCTCCATTCTGCACACCTGCACTGCGATCCTCAAGGTGCAGAACAAACAGGAGAAGCACATACAGCTCTTGTCAGAAGACCGAATTTCAAATGAAGTCCTCAGCAAGCAACTGCCTTCTTCCAGTGCCAGAAATCTGAACTAACTCAACAATACGGTCCAGAAATGTGGTGGCTGGGAAAAAACCCCTCCCAAATATCAAAGGATGTTTTCCAATACACCAGCTCTCCAAAGAAGGAATTGTCCCAAAGACATGATCTGGGAACCAAGAAGCCCATGTGTTGAGTACTTATAACATTTCAGCATCTTTTGCAACATCACTGGTGAGGACAAAGACTCTGATTCCCACTGATGGAAGAAGATAGCGAGATATGTCTGTGAAAAGCCACAGTGAACAAGAAAACAGTCGTACCTGTCCACACATTCAGATCTTGGGAACCTTAACTCCACTAATACTATTCTTTATCCCACGAACAAAGCCACAAGCTCTGTAAAAGCTCAAATGGCTGTGAAATGCGACAGCCCACTGGTTTCAAATGCAAGCTGTTATGAATGACGCTCCCCTTCTATTCTTGCCAAGCAAACGGTGCCCAAATCAAGCTCTCTGCTCCAAAGCTAAAGCATTCCCAGAGACTGGTGACAACTACCTTTCACCTCTGTTTCCATAATGAGGGCTACACTTAAGAGAGGTTATAAACTACCACTCCAGGAAGGCAAACTCACAAGGAAAGCAGGCTCATATATACACCCCTACAGAAAAAAAAAACAAACCAAAAACCATGACAGCTCTCCCATTGTTGGAAAAGACTGGAGTAAGCACAAGGCTTATTGACCACCTCTACAGCTAAACTCATGGCTTGTTTCACGTCCTCGGCTTTCCCTTTAGAAATCACTTCTGCAAGTAAAGAAGGCAAGAAGCAAAAACCAATCTAACCATTTCTTCTACAGGCTGAAGAGGAAGAAATAGGGAGGGAGGGAAGGAGGGAGCAAAGAAACTTTTTCTAAGAAAAAATCCCAACTTCCCAACAAAAATAAACTAACCATGGCATGGGGAAAAGAGCAAGGTGCTTGAATATTATTGCCTGGAGTACTACGGACAGTATCATAAGCATGTAGGGCAGCAAGGGTGGCCTATGGCTCATAGGCAACACGCTGTCTTAAGAAACTCTGGCGTTGTAATTTTCTAATTTCCTGTGGCCACAAGTAAGTGAGGCCAAATGGGAAGAATAAAAGATGGCATTTGCCACAGTCTGCTTGCTGTTTGTTCATCACTGTCCAGTACAAGCCAAGCCAAGGCCAAGGACTACACTGAACAACAGTGTCAGGCACTCGAACAATAAATTAAAGAAGTTGCCCCCAATTACATCACAGAATGATGAGAAATCCACAATGTGTTTCCTCTCTGAAGTACTCCCATTACCAGGCTGGGTCCTGCACTAATCAAGAACCTGTGGTAAAAAAAGATATAGGTAGCATCGTGGGTGGACCAGCATCTACTCGGTTAACAGGAGAGCCGCAAGAGAAACCCTCCAACATGTCAGAGAGAGAAAGGACTGAAATTGCCAGATGGGGCAGTGTCACTATATGAGTGACCTGAATATAATTTCTGCAATAGCCTCTTCAGAGGCTTGTCATCAAAGCCTTTTTGGGAAACACCAAGTATCTTGTCATTTCCCACTGTTGGTGAATTTGTTTAGAGAAACTGGAGATGCACAGCCTTCGTTTATATAACGTTGCTGTCTCACCTGCTCATGCTGTCATTCTCACTGCACCAGATGCTCACCCAGGGGCCCAACTGCTATTTAGGGTCTTGCACAGAACTGAAGCACCAAGACACCACAAAAAGGGATGCAGCCCTACCTAATAATCATTTCAACCTATGCAGCTGGCCCCAAGGGAAAGGCTTCCTGCTCTGCAGTTTACAGTAGCACATGTAAAGGGACAAGGGCCAAATCACCCCGCAGAACAACCTGGCCCTCTTTTTCATGTCTCTGAGGAGACAGAATAAGTATACACACAAGTGAGCGACGACTTCTCGATACTCCCAGATCACCCTCTTCCCCTCTCAACCGGCGCCAGGCACACCCTGCAGGAAACTTGGGTGTACACGTCACCAGCCCTGCACCAAGTCACACTCACCTGAATACTGCTGCAGCAGCCAGACCTTGAGCTCGATGAAACTATGAGCGAAGTGGCAGCTGTCCTCGCGCAGGCAGCCGTAACGCACCTCGTGTCGGCACACGTCGAACTGGAAGTGCTCCTGGAATTGGCGGATCTTGGAGTATTTCAGGGAGGTGGAACGCACGATGTGGACCAGACACCTGCAGCCAGAGAAGTATGAAGAACCAGAGGATCAAACCTTAACCACCTCCTTCTTACATGTGACTTTCAGACATTTGACTGGGCAGGCAAAGGATCCAGAAAATCAGCTCTGGGAGAGGCAGACTGCCACTGGGAAAACCAAACCCCTGCCCTTCCACCCCACCAACCTTAGGTAGGTATTTTCAATCTCCTTAGTCCATGGGTGATGCTCTGCTTAAGTTCAGAGATCAGACACATTTCAAAATATGCAGCAAAGATACCAACTCCTCTGGCTCAGCAAGTCTCTAAGTCTCAGGTTGCCAGGAACCAGATGGGGTTGTATTACTGTGTACTTGACATGTTTCTTATACTTGTTTTCCTAAACATTCATTACCAGCCAGTCAGAGGCAGGATCCTGAGCTAGAGATCTTTGGTTTGACCTTTATGTAAAGGCCAAACTGAAAGGCAAATTAAGTCAATGGAAAACTTAGGCTGACTCCAAAGGGCTTTGCTGATGCCTGAAATCCCACAGCACCAGAAGCAAACACACAGGGTGAAGCACACAGTCCTATTTATCATGCTTTGAGCTGCCCTATGATTGGAACCCAGGGGGGAGGAAAGAAAGAAAAAGACCGGGGCCCTGGAGTTAAACTGGCTGGACTTGTAAGAGATTGCTACCATCAGCACAAAAAATGTTCACTCACTTGTTGTCATGGAAACTGTGTTTGGCAGAAAGGTTGGAGCAGACAGATGGTGTGTCCTTGGTCCCTTTGCTGATAATCCTGGGTTTGCTGTCAAAGCAAATCTGAGAAGAGAAGAATTAGCATGCTGGGAAAATCTTAGAGAGCAGTGAACCAGAGCCACTTCACTTGGAAGGGGAAGAAGAACCAGGGCCAGCCTATTCTAATGTTCAAAGTTAGAAGAAGCCTGGTGAAAACTTTGTGGTAGGGCTTTAAAATAAAGCAAGCGAATTTTTGGAAAAGCTTCTGGACAACATTTTTTGGCTTATTCTCAACATTATTTTCCATTGTGGTTGGAAAAATTTTGGTCAGAGCCACATATTCTTTCCCAGTTAGCCAACGGAGCAAGAACAAGGGGGAAATGATGGGGAGAAATAAAAGAACAGCCAGTTCACAGCAAGGAACATGTCCCTTTATATTTACCACTGCCAGTGTGGGGGAACTCTCTGCTGCAGAACATCAAGATGGTATGAGCCAAGCGTTAACTGACCGACTCAGTGGCTCAGCACAGACATGAAATGGGAACTTGTTGCATTATGGTGTACTGACTTCTAAAGTAGCTGGGGCTAAATTACAATTCAAAGCAACATCTCAAGGCAGAGCAAGAGATAGGTGGTCCCATGAGGCTGTGTGCACCTGGTTCAGCTGCAGGGCTAAGGAGGAAAACTACCTCTCCTTTCTCCTACACAGCTGCATCCACTGCTCACTGTACTTCTGGGAGCAAGGCACTGGCTGAGATGTACAGAATCACAGAATCATTTAGGATGGAAAAGACCTTTAAGATCATCGAGTCCAACCATGAACCCAGCACTGCCAAGTCCACCACTAAACCATGTCCCTAAGCACCACGACTACACGTCTTTTAAATACCTCCAGGGATGGTGACTCCACCACTTCCCTGGGCAGCCTGTTTCAATG